TGAAGACGGTTGAGCATTCTTCAGGCAGCAGAAAGGAAGAGTGAGACACTGAGCCTGGCTTGAGCATCTCAAACCTCAAAGTCCACCTCCGGTGACCCCCTTCACACAGCAACACCACACCTGTTCCAACAAGGCTATACTACACCTCCAAAGAGTACCACTCACCATGAACCTATGAGAGCCATTTTCATTCAAATCACCATAGAAGATCTGCAGGCAGCCCAGACCTACAGATAAGTAAATGGCCAACTCCCAGGCAGAAGGTCTTCCCCACCTGCTAGATGGGTGGAGCCAGCAGGTGTACAAAGCACTGTGGGTGCACAGAAGATGATGCCACCAACGCCAGAGCCAGGAATGATGGACAAAGAAGTTAGGATGGGGGTGGTTTGCAGGCTGTTGGTCTGGGAGAAGAAAATCGAGAGAGGGGATTTCTGAGGAGAAGAGAGCTAGAGGCCGAAGGGGCCTCCCTGAGGATCCTAGCACCACCTTTCAAGAACCAGGAAGAGAAGGGCTGTGAGTCCCTCAGAGGTCAAGTGCTTCCCAGTATGCACAAGTCTCTGGGTTCCAACACCAGCACAGCAAAAAGAAAACCGGCAGGAAAAAAACATCTTCCTGGGTCTGGCCTGGAATGGGTCCAACCCTGCAGCTGCCAGTTTAGAGCTCAGGGAAACTTTCTGCTTCTCACCCATAGGGCTCAGTCTCCGGGTCTGGAGAGCTGACCTAGCAAAGGGCAGGTGCCTGGTCTCAGCTAACCCAGGCTGTCAATGTGGCCCCGCTGCAGTGCACTCTCTGACATCTCCAACCCTGTCCCAGCCTGACACCTACAGCACAGGCTGGAAAAGCTGCGGGGAGATGCCTGGAGGAGGAAGACAAGCTGTCTGGCCTGTGGGAGGAGTTAGAGGAGAGCGGGGTGGGGGAGGAGCGCAGAGCCTGCTGTGATCTTTATTGACCTTTGCCTTCCTCTGCCCACATCCCGCCCCACTGTCCAGCACTCGGCTCCCTTCTGAGCATCCTCGCTCAGCCTCAGCCTGGCACTGAGAAGGAGCCCCCAATGCTAGCTCTGCCACAGGCGCCTAGAACCACCTTTGGAGGCTCACTCTTCTGTGCCTCCGTGTCCTCTCCTGTGATCTGAGATGATACTGTCTACTTAGACAGGGTCTTGGGGACAGGAAAATGAATTACTGTAACTACATAGGCAGCTTGCTGCGACTGTCAGTACATCGTAGATAGTATTTCAGGTAAGATATCCACTTTGACTCAGAAGAACCCAGGGAAAGTCCTCTGCACTCGGGTTCCAGTCTCCTCTCTGCTCTGTAGGACCCAAGATGATGTCTCTATGCCCTCATCAGTGTCTTGTCTGAGACAGATACCCACCACACCTGCCTCTGAACATGCTTGTATAATACTCACCCACCCCCTTACACACACAAAATATCTGAGTGGAAGACAGATCACTTGGTGTTTCTGCCATCAGGTGACCACCAAAATGCCGCCTCCTTACCATCAGGCAGCCTCTGGAGAGCTTCCCATACATCCTGCCCTTAGCAAAGACAGGCAGAGGTTTGACTCTTACGACAGGCCCGTCATGCAGACCCTAGAGCCATCGAGCAACAGCAGCCTGCTATAGAATCCGAGGAAAAGTCCATTCTTCAGCCAGCTGGTCTCCAGCCAGTTAGTCTCTGCCCCACCCAGGTCCCAGACATGCCCCTCACCAAATGAATTGCCTGATCCATCCCTCCTCCATCTGTCTGCTCTGTGTTTCCTGAAGTAGACTAATTTGGCATCTTGGGATCAGTCGGAGCTGGATTGCTTTCCTCTCTAATCATTTAGGAGTTGATTAAGCTGAGATCCCACCAGGGTGATCAGGCCCACTTGATTGACCCTGAGAAGGTCCCTGATACTCTGCTGTATAACAGGGACAGTAGGTCACCCTGGGTGTCACAGCACATGAACCAACTGTCAACAGGAACTCAGGACAGAACAAGTCTGTGTGGGCTTCAGTCTTGGGCAGAGTGGGACCTGGAAAAGCCAGGATGTTCTTCCTCAGAAAGGACTCAAACCAGAAACATCCTTGGGGAGATTCCCAGAGACAGCAGCAGTGGGCACCTGGCCAGAATGGAAGGTATGTTGAAGAGCCAACATGGTCCTACCAAGTTCTGGGAAGGTCCAGGGAAAATGCATCCTACAGTGAGGACTTAGGCCAACCTTCTTCCAGGACAAGGGATCCCATCCTTCTGCCCTGTGAAAAACCAATCAAGGCTTCAGCAAGGCTGCCACAGACAAGTGGAGGTGGGACAGACATCCTAAGATGGTGGGGAGTGTAGCAGTTGCAGCTAATGCTGAATCTGTTCCAGCGACCTGGGCTGAAACCAGATAACAGAAGCTTTCAGGGCTGAAGGTGCTGCCCCTTCAGAGCCAGGCTGTGGGCACCCAGCTCTAGAAGCGCCCTCTAGTGGGGGCTCTGTCATTTCTGTTCATTGAGTGAATAACAAGACCCATCCATTCTGCAGCCTTAAAGACCAAGCCCTAAGTATGGGATGTGACAGTCTCAACTGGCCCTCTACCAAGGCTAAGTTTTAACTGCAGTACCTTCCAGGTTGAGTTCCCTACCCCACCCCACCCAATGCTCAGTGTTGTCTGTTACAAGACTTCCTCTCTTTTGCGTTCACCTGAGAAGTAAGTACCCATGAGAACCTTTGTCCCCCTTGTTTACTGGAGGATGAACTCCACCCCAGATATGATGGGAGCTCTTTCTGATAGACTTTGTGCTTCTTACCTGACAGCTCACCATTAAAACATAGTAGACCCCATCTTTAATGAGAACGAGTGGGGCCAGTTTGAACTCCCATGATCCTTTTCTCAAGACGTCAACAGCTTCCTTCTCTGATAGGAAGTTCTGAAGGGCATTGCTCCAGCCTGAGCATCACTTTGGAATGATGAACTCTGTGAGAACGAAAACATGCTGATTGGCGGTGGGAAGCGGAAAGCTGTTTCTCTGCATGATTGATCTATGCAAATCCAAGATAGTATTTCTCCTCTTCCGTGGTGACACGGGGAGCCATGAAGCACTTGCCAGTGTTTCCCACCCCTGTAGCAGGATTTCTTTTGTGCCGCCAACCAGCTCCCGAATCACGACATGGAAGCTGATTATTAGTTATGAATGCTCTGCCTTATCTCATGCTTGTCTCACTAGCTTATAACTTATTTTAACCTGCTTTTTTTATCTACATTTTGCTTCATGGCTTTTACCATTCTTTCATTGTGTATGTCTGACTCCAGGTTTGGCTGACTGGCAGCTGCCTAACTGACTGGCCCTGGGTGTCTCCCTCTTTTTCTCCCTCATTCTCTTCTCTCTTTTCTCCTCTCTCTCTCTCTCTCTCTCTCTCTCTCTCTCTCTCTCTCTCTCTCATATCTAGATCTTTCCTCCTATTCTCTCTGCCCACCAGCTCCACCTATCCCTCTCCTGCTTAGTTATTTGCTGTTCACCATTAGACCAATCAGGTGCCTTAGGCAGGCAGCATGAAATAGCAATGCATTTTTATATAGATAACAAATACAGCATAAACAAATGCAACACACCTTTACATAGTTAAACAAATGCAACACATCTTTACATAGTTAAACAAATGCAGCATAAACAAATGCAACACATCTTTACATAGTTAAACAAATGCAACACATCTTTACATGGTTAAACAAATGCAACACATCTTTACATGGTTAAACAAATGCAACACATCTTTACATAGTTAAGCAAATGCAGCATAAACAAATGCAACACACCTTTACATAGTTAAATAAATTCAGCATAAACCAATACAACACACTTTAAAAAGTTAAAGAAGAATTCCACAACACCCCACCCCACACATTCACCAGAGTTCTCAGCTACTTACTTCCTGCTGAGGTCCCTGTCTGGCTCCACACTCAGTCTTTAACTGACCCTGCATTGCAATAACTCTTCAAAGTGGGCTTGTGTGTTCACCCGCCTGGCTGTGCTGGCCTATAGGTGTGGCCCTGTGGCAGTTGACTCAAAGGATCAGGGGTTATGTTAGTATTTTTCATCATTCTGGTGAATTACTGGAAGAATCCATTCAAAAGATGATGTGGGATCACAGTTTCAGAGGTTTGGGTCTACAAGTCACAATGGGTTTTCTGGGCCTGATATGAGGTATAGGACTATGAAGGATTGATGGGCGGAGCTGCTCACTCTGTGACAGATGGGAAGCAGAGAGAGAGAGAAGGTGACCAGCAATAATGTCTATCTTTCTAGGACATGCCTCTAGCAAAGGCAGGACACCATGGAGACATCAGTCATGACTGATTATGCAGAGAGGCTCACTCCATAACAAACAGGAAGGGGAGAGAGAGAGGTGGCCAGCAATGGCATGTAGCCATTTCCAGAGAATGCCTCCCCTTCCTCTAACTAACACCACCAAGGGATTAATCTACTGATGAAGTTGGAGTCCTCATGAACCAGTCACATCTCATGATTACACCCACCGGCTAGGGCCAAACCAACTATGAGCCTTTTGGGTGGCGCTTCATAATTAAACCGCAAGTGTTCTAGTTTGAGTCTGAGTCTAAAGTCAGGCTAATGCAAATGCTGTAAGCACATGCAGGGTGGTGAGGTTAAGCCAAGAGCAAGTAGACCATATGCATTAAATGTATCTTAGCCCTAGAAAGAATAGGAAGACGATCCCACTCTAGATGGAACTGCATCGGTATCTCATCGATGTCTGTTGCCTTAAGCATCACACATGTCCATGCAGCATGGGGTTTGTGCTGGATCTCAGCCTGAGCCCCAGTCTTCCATGAACTGGGTCAGGGAACTGTTTGTGTCTCTGGGGCCGAGGGCTGCTAAGGCTCCAACCCTCCCTCCCGCAGATACAGCTGCTCTTGCCGAGACAGCACCCTTACTTCATGGCAGTCCGGCACCTAGCGATAGAGGCCATGTGGTGGGTGAGGTCTGCTTAAGGGTTTGTTCTGTGCCCTCACAGGTGGGATCCCATTCATCCTGACTGGCGAGTTCTTCCAGCAGTCAGAGCGACCAGCGGCCTTCATTGTTGCAGGCACAGTCAACTGGCTCTCCAACTTCGCTGTGGGGCTCCTTTTCCCCTTCATACAGGTATGCCTGACAAGGGGCCTCCAGCCTTCACACTGCCTGGGGACTCTGAGACATGGTGAAATTTGTCTGGTTGCTTTCTGATGGGTGTCTCTCTCTTCATCTCCCTCCCCACCCCTCTCTCTCCTGCTTCTCTCTTTGTCTCAACTCATACTATGGTCCCGAGGAAGGAAGGATATGTACTTTGATGAAGATCCTCTTCTCTTCCTCCTGTCCTTCCCTCATATCCTTCCTCTTGTCCCTCTTTCCTCCCTATCCCACCTTCCTCTCCCACCCCCTCCTTCCTCCTGTCCTTCCCTCTCACCCCTTTTCCCCTTCTGTCCCTTTTCCCTCTCTGTCCCTCCTCCCTCCTATCCCTCCTAGGAACTGGTCCCATATGCTATGGGCTGCCTCCTTATTGTTTGACCCTATGACTTATAGGCCACTCTTGCCGTGTGCTCACCACTGTGTCAGACAAACCTCACAGAAATGTTGGACTGTGTGTCCTACATACACTCCGAGCATCCCAAAGAAGACAGTGAGTGATTGGTAGGAAAATGCCAACACGTTTCAGAAGAAGGAGCAAATTCACTAGGGTTTGCAGTGTTTGGGGAAATAAGAATAAGTGAGCCCCAGCCTGTGGACTGTTAGAGATGGGGTTCTGAAGCCTATGGGCTGCTGGAGCCATGCTTCTGTGGCAGGTGGGCTGTTGGGGGTATGGTGCTCCTCAAAGACATCTCAAAGGCAGTGGTACTTGAGTAGAGACATGAGAAAGGTAAGGAGCAGGGGAGTCTGGGAAGTACAAAGTCCGGACTAGCCTAACAGCAGTGCAAATAGGCTGGTTCATACTTGGCCTGGGTGGGAAGCAATATAGGGGCCAAGACAGCTGCAGCAGGGTGAGGCAGGAGGTGGCTGAGTAGAGAGTGAGCTCACGAAGTTATCCATAGGTCAGAGCATAAAAGACAAGGACTTTGCAAAGGTTGTGCACAGAGACAGAGCCCAGCAGCATTCACTTGGAAGGTGAAACTTCCCTACTCCAACACCCAGGGCTCCCTGATGCCCTTGACACAGGTGCATCAACCTGGAGAGGGCGAGACGACATCACATACCTCCAACCACGCCCCTATCATCTCTCCCCAAAGGGCATTTCAATCCCATCATCCTCCCTGACCCACTATTCCAAACACTGCTTAGTGCCAGCCCAGCATGTCCCAGTGACCCTAGCACCAGCCAGGTGAACAAGAAGGCCCTGTCCCTCTCTCACCACGCCCAGACACAGCACAGCTGTAGACCTGTGGGACAGCTTCTTCTCTCACAGCTGCAAACCAGTTCCTCTCTTCACAGCCTCCATGTGTGACTTCCGTGTCCAGGTCAAATCCCATGGCCTTCAGCTACAGACAAGTCCACTGAGGCCAGGGAAGAGGTGGTTATCCCAGGTTCCAGTGCCCACCAAGTCCAGCTCCCCGACTCGATTGTCTTTGCTCTGGTCTATCATGTGCTGCCGCTCCTTAACCCAGCAGCTGGAAGGCAGGTGCTCCATCCAGTTTCCAGGTCATTTAAACAATGACTTCCCATCTCAGTGCCACCGGTCCCTCCGGGGGCCACGGAGGACAGAGAGACCTGTGCTTAGCACTCTCTTCCTTGGGGTCCCCTTTCCAGCTGCGGCCAGGGCACAACAAGCTAGTTTTTCAATTGACCCTATACCTTCGGTGTGATTTTCCTGTTTGGTTAAAAGCTAGCAGACAGAGCCTGCGGTCAGTAAAACATCCATTACACGGAGAAAATGAATTTCAGGTTGCCGACTGACTCTCCCATTCCTTCAAAGCTGAGCCTTCCCAGGCTCAGGGTACACTCTCTGGGCCCGTGAAGCAGATCTGTCTTCTACACACCTGGGGGCGAGCAAAGTAGATCTTTTTTTTTTCTATTTTTTTTACTGATTTTTATTGAGCTCTACATTTTTCTCTGCTCCCCTCCCTGCCTCTCCCCTCCCCTTCAACCCTCTCCCAAGGTCCCCATGCTCCCAATTTACTCAGGAGATCTTGTCTTTTTCTACTTCCCATGTAGATTAGATCTATGTATGTCTCTCTTAGCGTCCTCATTGTTGTCTAGGTTCTCTGGGATTGTGATTTGTAGGCTGGTTTTCTTTGCTTTATGTTTACAAACCACTTATGAGCAAAGTAGCTCTTATAGACACTGCAGACCTAATGCCATTCCGCTAGGCTAGGAGGGAGACGCGTCCACAGGTTACATTCATGCAAACATCTATTGAGCATTTGCTGTGTGCCAGCAAATGCTCAACGCTGTCGGTTCCAGGAGGTACAGCCTCCAGCAGCCCTTCTGAGAGACTCCCAATGTCACCCCTGCTCAGCATGTCAGAGACAGAACCTGAACCCAAGTTCTTAATCCTCACTTGTGAGACAAGGAGAGAAAGGGGGCCACTGTTATCTGGCAGGTGACCCTATTCTAAAAGTCTGCTTCTGGTTGAATAATTTATCCAAAAAACTAGGGACTCTGTGTTGAGTGTGTATGTGCGTGCTCACACACTTTTGCATGCATTGAGCAGTCTCCAGCTGAATCTGGATTTCTCATCACTCAGATTTGCAAATCGTTTCTCATCTGCGCGTCCCTCCAGTGGTTTCACAGCGCTGCGCCTCGTTTGACAGTGTCCTGTGTGTCTGGGGCTCAAATTTTATATTCAGTTTCCTTCCGTGTAATTATCCCAGCCCATTCCATTGGCTTCCTTGTCAAAGAGGAGGTCATGGTGAGAGCAATGACCACACAAGGCATTAGCTACGTACCAGGTCACTAGGCAGCCAGATGGTGGAGTGGAAGTTCTTGCTGCTCCCATGGATCTGTCAGGATGGGCTGTTTTCTGCAAGAATTAGTAGCCCCCACCTGAGGCCTGAGGACCAGAGAGAGCTTCCTGTCACCCAGTTCATGGCAGCTTGTTAGAGCAGTCATTGAAACAAATACAAAACAAGCTAAGAAATCGGGTAACTAGATGAGACATTGCTATACAACTGGCTCTCCCCGGCATGTCACATAGTGTGATTCATGTAATCACAGGTCTGTGAGTCCCATGGCCCTGCTGGCTTCCTTTTACAGATAGCAGTTGATACACAGAGATGTCAAGTCACTTCCCCAGGGCTGCCCAGCTAGCAAGTGCTAGAGCTGAGACCTAACCTACATGCTCCAGAATGTTCATTCACAACCACAGCAGCTCACGGCCCTAAATCTTGGGGTGACACCCGTGCACAGGGTGAGAATGATGTCAGGGGCTCAAAATGATTCTTGGGTAGATTCTTAGAAAATCCTTGGAGCGTCTTGTTCTGGCTAGTAGGATAGCTTGTGGCAGCCATCCCTGACATTTGAGCATGCTCTGTAGCTACAGGACAGACCTATATCAACCCTGCATGTGATGGGCTCCTACCAGGGACACATGCCAGATAGCTGTGGGCTCCTAAGGTGCGAATTTAGAAGGTCAAGCCAGTGTTTTGTTTTACTTATTTATTTATTTAGTGTGTGTGTGTGTGTGTGTGTGTGTGTGTGTGTGTGTATGCATGCAATCATGCCAGTGTGTGTGCACATGCGTGTACATGTGCCCACACATATATGTACCTCAGACATGTGCAAAGGTCAGGGAACAATTTGCAAGAATCTGTCCCAAGCTAGATCTTCTGCATGCTCCAGGGCACGGTGGCACCAGTCTGTGTGGGGTAGTTTACTGAGCAGGGAAACTGGCTGAGTGCTCAGACCTTGCAGGCAGAGAGCCTGGGCTTACACATCAGCTCTGCTGCTCTCACGCAATGTGACCCCGGGCAGGTTCCTCACAGTCTTCAGACCTCATGTGTGTCGCGGGCAATAGCAGAATCAACTCACTGAGCTCTCGTGAGGATCCACCGTTCAGAGCTGGAAAAGCGTCCTCAGACAGGGGATAAGACTCAGTGGACCAAGTGGTTGCTGCGTAAGAAAGAGGGTCTAAGTTCAAGTCCCCAGCACTCATGCACAAAAACTGGGGGCAGAGGCGCAGGCCCATAGTCCCAGTGCTGGGGAAGTGGGAATGGAGAGCTCCTGGGGCTTGCTGGCTGGCCAGTCTAGCCAAATCAGTAAATTCCAGGTTGAATGAGAGACCGTGTTTCAGAATATAATGGGCAGAGTGACCAAAGAGGACATACATCATCCTGTGGATTCCTGATGCACACATGCATAGATGAGCACACACAAACACAGAGATAATAATAACGTAAAACAAAAACTAAATTTAGAAAGCATCCTTACACTTGACAGGCCACAACTTGAGCCCGGCCATGGGTAGAAGTGGGTGCAGGCGGTCAGACGATCCTCATGGAGTGAGACGGCATGGGCTCTGAGGGCTCAAGGTGGCAAGAGGAGCCAGACCCCAAGGACCGTGTGTATGTGTTTCCCGGGGCTGCTGTAAGCACACCACACTTGATGCTGTGTTTTAATAGGAAGCATGTCCTCCGAAGCTCACACTGAAATTTGGTCCCCAGTTGTGCTGGTCAGACTTTTTGTCACAGTGAAAAATGCCTGAGGGGAAGTGGTGGTCTCTCTGGCTCACAGTTCACCATCCCCGCCCATCACCAGCTTGCTCTGTTGTCACTAGCAGAAAATCATGGCTCTGAGGACGTGGGGTGAGGTAAAGTCGTTCACGTAGCTGTACCTGGGGAGAATAGAAGAGACAGGAAAGAGCTGAGGACGAGATATATTTGTCTAGGGCACACTCCCAGTGATACACGCCCTCTAACTAGACCCCGTCTTCCACACTTCCACGACCTGCAACAGCACATTCAAATGATGGCTCCACCCGAGGACAGAAACACTTACGGCTGAGCCCTGGGGATCCAGCTACTCCCCAAAAAGTCTTGGAATGCTGCTGTCCTGGGGATAAGACCCTCAACACATGGGCCTTTTGAGGGGAAACCTCATCTCCAAAACAGAAGTATAAAACAGTGTTGAAGCCTTTTATGGGGTTCGGAGGGCTCCGCCTTCATGACGATGTCAAT